AAAAAAATACCGAAATATATCAGGTCACAATTTGGCAGAATTAGTGATATTACGATACATTTCTGGGGTTAGCGAGTATCAATTTTCAACGATAATAGGATTCAATACCGGCACAGGGTTCAACTGTGTAAATTTTCGTAAACTTTTTGCACCATTCATCCCCAGAGATGCCCGATGGGAGTAACAACAAGTGAGAAAACAAACAAGTCTGGGAAAGTTATGTATGTTATTTCATTAATTGCAGTAACTCTGTGCCAGATTTTTTACCTGTCATTTTTATTTATAGAGGTGAACTAATAAATGCATAAAGTTTTGTATAATGCACTCTCTATTTACCTCTTATTAACCTTAACAAAAGCTTTGACTAATTTAATTTTTTTTATTTTAGTGCCCTTGCTAAATAAAAACTTTCTTTTTAAATTTATTTTACATTATTTTATTTCTTACCCAAATCAAATCCTTCAATGGTAAACGGGCTTATAGAATTGCCAGGAAACTGTTTTTGGATCTATTTTATTAGTCGGTGTAGTGTACAATACATTTTGATATGCTTACATAGNTATTTACCTCTTATTAACCTTAACAAAAGCTTTGACTAATTTAATTTTTTTTATTTTAGTGCCCTTGCTAAATAAAAACTTTCTTTTTAAATTTATTTTACATTATTTTATTTCTTACCCAAATCAAATCCTTCAATGGTAACCGGGCTTATAGAATTGCCAGGAAACTGTTTTGGGATCTATTTTATTAGTCGGTGTAGTGTACAATACATTTTGATATGCTTACATAGTGTATGCACATTAGACGGTCCAAATTTTGTATGGGGGAAACATGTCATCGTAGAAAACGTATTTTTTCCTTTTGGTATTTGTAATACAGTGAAACCCGCTTAAGTTCTTAAATTCTTTAAAATATTTACGTATTTTGAAATTCAGTAGCAGCGCTACACACCTTCGGTAAAAAAATTCTAAAAAATAAACGGTAACTTTTAGCCACTTGAAACTTGCACATTATTGCACTAAAATTGAATGGGCTATAAAACTGTATACTCAAAAAAATACTTCTATTAAAAAATAGTTTGAAATTATGATGCATTTTTTTTAAGTGTTCTACAAAATCTTAAGCTTGGGTTTATATGGCATTTGTTAGGGAATGAACTGCATTTTAGTTGATTGAAAAATATTAAAAATTAATAAATTAACATTAGTGGCAAACAATATCATTTTGAATTTGGTGCATAATAACTTTGACTTTTTGAACAATTTAATTCTTGTAAAAATGACATACCATGCACTAAATATTTTTTTTAATAAAGTTTTTCTCTACTTCTTTATGTGTTTAAATAATGGTACGATTTTGGTTTTAAACTACGTATACTTCATTAAATGTTGTTATTCAAGTATTTATGTAAGTTTACAAGAAGATGTAACTACATCAGTAATTATGTTCGCTTAAGTACCCGCATCGATTGGTNTCTGAAGAAAATCCCTCTCTTAAGTACCTCCCCACTTATTTACCCAACCCGCCTAAGTACCTCGATTTTTCATGCCCCCTTTAAAATTTTACTTATAATTTTCCCCTTTTTAAGTGCTCTTTTAAAATTCTTTAAAATATTTACGTATTTTGAAATTCAGTAGCAGCGCTACACACCTTCGGTAAAAAAATTCTAAAAAATAAACGGTAACTTTTAGCCACTTGAAACTTGCACATTATTGCACTTAAATTGAATGGGCTATAAAACTGTATACTCAAAAAAATACTTCTATTAAAAACTAGTTTGAAATTATGATGCATTTTTTTTAAGTGTTCTACAAAATCTTAAGCTTGGGTTTATATGGCATTTGTTAGGGAATGAACTGCATTTTAGTTGATTGAAAAATATTAAAAATTAATAAATTAACATTAGTGGCAAACAATATCATTTTGAATTTGGTGCATAATAACTTTGACTTTTTGAACAATTTAATTCTTGTAAAAATGACATACCATTGCACTAAATATTTTTTTTAATAAAGTTTTTCTCTACTTATTTATGTGTTTAAATAATGGTACGATTTTGGTTTTAAACTACGTATACTTCATTAAATGTTGTTATTCAAGTATTTATGTAAGTTTACAAGAAGATGTAACTACATCAGTAATTATGNAAATTCTTTAAAATATTTACGTATTTTGAAATTCAGTAGCAGCGCTACACACCTTCGGTAAAAAAATTCTAAAAAATAAACGGTAACTTTTAGCCACTTGAAACTTGCACATTATTGCACTTAAATTGAATGGGCTATAAAACTGTATACTCAAAAAAATACTTCTATTAAAAAATAGTTTGAAATTATGATGCATTTTTTTTAAGTGTTCTACAAAATCTTAAGCTTGGGTTTATATGGCATTTGTTAGGGAATGAACTGCATTTTAGTTGATTGAAAAATATTAAAAATTAATAAATTAACATTAGTGGCAAACAATATCATTTTGAATTTGGTGCATAATAACTTTGACTTTTTGAACAATTTAATTCTTGTAAAAATGACATACCATTGCACTAAATATTTTTTTTAATAAAGTTTTTCTCTACTTATTTATGTGTTTAAATAATGGTACGATTTTGGTTTTAAACTACGTATACTTCATTAAATGTTGTTATTCAAGTATTTATGTAAGTTTACAAGAAGATGTAACTACATCAGTAATTATGTTCGCTTAAGTACCCGCATCGATTGGTTAATATATATAAGTACTATGTATGTACTACTTATACTTGGAAACGTAAAGTTTGTTGCCAGCACCGCTTTCGGCAAGAGGAAAAATTTTGAAAAGTGCCCCAACCCTATCTCGGACAATTTTTTTTACCACTCTAATGTACATTCGAGCGGTGTAGAGTGTANCGTAAAGTTTGTTGCCAGCACCGCTTTCGGCAAGAGGAAAAATTTTGAAATGTGCCCCAACCCTATCTCGGACAATTTTTTTTACCACTCTAATGTACATTCGAGCGGTGTAGAGTGTACAAGCGATTAGTGTTCACCTGAACCTGTTGAATAGAGTTTGCTATTGAGAGCGGTTCTTATGAGTTTAAATGACTATGTTAACAACAGCAAGTCAGCTGCAGGCAGCAGGGACCGGTAACAGAGCTGGATCTGCGCAAATTTTTGCGCTAAACGAATATAAAACTGCCAGCCGCACACATTAGCCCAGTCGTAGATCATTGTCAGTGAACCGAGTACACAAATTACCGGGAGTCGAGTCAAATCAATTTACAATTTAAAATTCTGTTGATAATACTTGAGGTCAACGTAGCCAACAAGAAAAGAAAATAAATTTAAATAAAATTTCTATATTAAAAGGACAAACAAAAACTGTTACGATAAGCCACAATAAACCAGTGGCCAGAGAGTAATTAAGTGCCGGTATAAGCGTGCACAGTGCGTTCGCGCGTGAATTTATGTGACAGTCGATTTTTTAACTTGTACATACCAATGTTAATCGCTTAAATATAAAATAAATAAACAAATATTACAAAGAAAAACATAATTTCAGGAATATTTTCGTCTTTTTGAGCGCTGTGNGTACATACCAATGTTAATCGCTTAAATATAAAATAAATAAACAAATATTAATATTAACAAATGTTAAGTGATTTTGGCAGTTGGTGGCGGTAATACAATAAGAGAATAGGAAAAGCAGAAACAAATTTAGAAACACGAAAGCAAAACAAATCGCCCTGATATTGGCATTTACAAAATAAATAGATAAATAGGGGCACAGATATACTTAGCAAAATGAATATACAAAATTTGCACGAACAAACCATGCTGAGAAATAGGCAGGATTTCGCGAAGAAAGACTCGGTGATCCTTGAAGCACGATATACGGTAAGTGTTGGAAACAAGATGCCCCCAAATATTTAAAAGAACTTTGCAAAGTTAAGTTGCGAAATATTTATGAATGTGCTTAAAATTATATGCATACATACATAGGTATCTGTGCCTACGTGTGTATGTATGTATGTAACATACATATGTCCATATGTATGTAATTTTAGCCTTTTCTTTTTATTTTACTTTCTAATTTATTGTGTGTTTGTTATTTCGAATCGTAGACGAAATGTAAACAATTCAAATTAATTGGTCAATGAGGCACGCGGCACCTGTCGGCGATTATTTCAAGATCAAAAAATTATTTTCATTCAAATTAAACGTGAGCATATACATACATACATATGTATATACATTTGCATATCTATTATATTTTGTATAAGCTGAAAGTAAAAAGTTCTTGTAATCTTCAGGTTTATATCTTATATATACATTGGAATACATATACTTATGTGCATACATACGACAATAATTGCTTCTCATAACCGCCGATTATTTTTAATTGTTTGTCATGAAGATCCCTCCATCTCTTAGCTGAGGTAATAAAGAAAATCACACATTAAATTTAAACTTAATCGGGAAAAATTAAATCTAGACTCGACTAGGGACTGAAGATAAATGTAATTTTTTTCTTTCGGAATAAAATATTACGCAAATGTTCTCTAAAATATTTTAGGGAATATTTAGCGAGTATCGTATATGGGTGTTTCCAGCGGAAGGTCCACCACGACAAAAAAAAATTAAAGTTTTATATCTAACGTATTGACGGGCCGATTTGTCTGCTTTTTAAAATATATACTGGCTATGTAAGTAGAATCATGTTTGCATAAAATGGTCTTCCTAGGTGGTGCCAAGGTCGAGATATTTCGAAAAACCGTATTTATGGTCCGATTTGGTTCGAATTTGGCGTATGTGGTTGAAACATAATAAATCATAGATTTCTAATAAATTGACCCTGAATTGGCGCTGAAGTCAAAATATAAAGTATATTCTACATAAAATACATGTTTTATTTGCGTTGAAAATTCATTTAAAAGCAATATTAACAAAAATATAACGATGGAAATTTATGTCACGTGACGCCACGTCACGTCACGTTTCACACTTGGGGTTGTAAAAGAGAATTGAAACAATTTGCATTAATTCAAAAAACTCTAAAAACAACTAGAATTGCTCCAAATCATATTAAAATAAGTTTCATGAAAATAGCCATCCACAATTCGCAGAGTTTTGCGATTTTGTAAGAAAAGAAAAAATCAACTTCCATTTTTTGTCACGTAACGACACTCTCTTTAAATGCTTATATTTCAGGACCAAGCAGTTCGATTGATTTCATTTTTCGGTTAAATATAGAGCTAATTATGTGCTATACAATGGCCCAAAAAAGTTAAAGAAAACAAATGGTATTCCTTTTTTGTATCACATTGAAATCGTACGACTGTCACGCGCGCCACCATGGGAATGCCCATATTCTATTTTGGTCGCCATTACCATTTTATGGGTATCAACAGGTACAGTTAAATTTTACCAAAGGAAAGTAAACCTCTAATTTTAACTTTCTTATTTAACTCTACTAGTATTGCTTTTAGGGTTTCCAAATGTCCTCCGTCCTCCGCAAAGTGTAAAAAGTTTCCTCAAAAATTAACGCTCTTTTTTAATAGATTTTTATTTGCCATTTTTAATGGTTTGGATGTGAATTTCGTAAATGACTGAAAAATCGACAGAAATCTGAAATGGAGAACAATTTACCCATTTCATCACACTGGCGCTGGTATTCCATCATTCCATTAATCAATGGTTCTGTTTTTCTGAAGAGTGTTGAAGTCGGAGAAATCGCAAAGACGCTTAACTTAAAAGATATCTTAGATAATATGAAAAGTTTTGAGTTTTTACCAAAGGTGCCAATTTAAAGACAATAATATCCTAACTATTTTGCATTCCACGTAGGGCATTTGCCGAAATGGTGTTTTTCGTTCATGAATGCAATAATTTAATAAGAAGCGAGTTAAAAATGCATGTGTGTGGCAAATAACTGTGTAGAGATTTACAATGTTTTTAAAAATAACAGGAAATCATTTAAAACTGCGAAGAACACAGAAAAGTATATGTTTTATATTACATTTATGCGCCTTTGTTTTTTTTTTACTTCATTGAAGTGTTTTCGACCCAATCATAGAATGGCTTTCTGTTAATTTTTAATAAGTTAATTTTTTGAAATGCTGAAAGGATTCCATTTTTTGCAAAATGGCCTTTCCCCCTACTTTTTTCTAGAAATGAAACGAATGTTAGGTCCTTTCCTCCTGCAGCAAAGACGTCTTCATACATAGTCCCATTTAAAAATATTTTGTCCTGCCTTAGATGTTTTAAAACTTGGCAACCCTAATTGCGTTCTGTCTTTGTAAGACGCCTTCAGAAGACCGCCATAGAGATCTGCTAAATAATTCAAGGACACAAGTGTGTCGGAGTCACAGCCGCTAAACTTAAACGTAGAATACGTGATATTATTAAGATCACATTCAAGTTAAAAACGGTACATGAAATATTCGTTTTGATTGTATTGAATTGAATTTAATAAATCAATATGAATTACAAAATATTAATACTTAGCAATAGAGAAGCAGATCCACATGAACTTCAGTCATATGTATCATCAGCTTATAAATACATATATATGCCATGACGTGTATCATTATTTCGATTCATTTTTATTTCCTTTCATACTGCAGAAATTTGTATTATTTTTTATATTAGCCTAGGTCCCCGTATTAGTATTCTTCTTCGAGTTCATGCTCTTCTTCACATTCTCTTCGTCTTCGGATTTGTGCATAAGTCAGCTAAGACTTCTGAAACTGCTGGCAATTCTCCTAAATATAATTAAGAAATAAACAAATCTCTAGCGTCTGATATTGNGTCTTCGGATTTGTGCATAAGTCAGCTAAGACTTCTGAAACAGCTGGCAATTCTCCTAAATATAATTAAGAAATAAACAAATCTCTAGCGTCTGATATTGTGATACCTATATAAATATTTCATGTGCCTGATGAATTAAGTTAAATTTGATTTTTTAAATACGTGACAACGCTCCTAAATACAGCTCAGAAATAAAGCCTTTTTAAACCCATTTCATTTGACACCCATATTTTCAATAATTGCTTTAACTTGTTAAATAATTTGAGTTTACATTTTTACTNGATATTGTGATACCTATATAAATATTTCATGTGCCTGATGAATTAAGTTAAATTTGATTTTTTAAATACGTGACAACGCTCCTAAATACAGCTCAGAAATAAAGCCTTTTTAAACCCATTTCATTTGACACCCATATTTTCAATAATTGAGTTTACATTTTTACCAGGTGGCAACCCTCTTTAATAATCTAAATATTTAAACTAAGGATATCTTACTACCTTCGATTCACATAATATTTTAATATTTCATTTAACTCATGCATACTTTATTTAAATTCTAATTTTGAAACAGGTGGCAACCCTATTCAAAGTATTTTTAAACCACAACCTCTTGCGTCTGACATCCATATAAGGATATATTTTAAGTCGAACTTGCTTTTGAAACAGGTGGCAACCCTCCCACATATGTGTAATTAAGAAATAAAGCATTTTCAAAACCATTTCGATCGATACTCATAGTGTGATAATTGATTTAACTTAAAATTAATTTGAATTAAATTGTTTTTATCAGGTGGCGACTCTTTTTGAAAAAATAAGAAGCCCAAGCCCTTTAATTTGATACCTCTTTTTGTAAAATCGAACTAACATTACAGATCTGATGATATGACAAAAAGCTTCCGCTTATTATGCATACATATCGTCACTAGACACGAATAAAGGCGCGAGCTCAAAAGTTGACGGCGAAAAAAGACGCATAAAAAAACTTCAGCGTCAAAAACTCTTAAAATACTTCGCCGAAGTTTTTCATAAGCATCTTTTTTCGCAAAATTTTTTTACGCGCCTTTTTTCGCCGTCAAAACACTAGCGCGCCTTTATTCGTGTGTAGTGACGATATGTAAATATGTATGTATTAGGGATGTCAATTTTCGGGGTTTTGTCGATCCCGGGATTTTCGGGATCTGAAAATACAATCCCGGGATCCCGGGATTCGATCTGAAAAAGGAAAAAGTGCAACACATCTGTGATCATCCTATTATAGTATTTTAAATCAGATTGATATAACAAAAAAAAGTACAATTTATTGTAATTCATTTACATATTTATTAAGGCGATAAATCAGTATTTTAACAAACAAACATTGAATTTGACAAACATATATGTATGTATGTATGTACATATCCTCATTAATTTATAACATAGTTTTTGTACACAGAAATATTTTGCATAGATTTTTTTTTGCAATATCCAGAATATTTTTCATGGTATTTTTTTTGTTAATTTAAAAAAATATATATGTATGTGCAATTTTGAAGTTGCTAAAACATCCCGTTGACATTTTATATTTTTTTTCCACAAAAAAATTCGTTATAAGGAAGAAAATGCCCAACATCGTCAGTAAAAAAAAATTCAAAAATCAAGTGAGTTTTTAGCAACTTTAAAATTGCACTTTATTGTATTAAATTGAATGGGCTATAAAACTGCATAATAGAATTATTTATAAAAATTATGATTAAAAAGTTTGATATTTTTATGATAATTTGGTGAACTTAAACCAACTTTCTCTAAAGTGTGAAATTTTGATTTACATGATTTTTGTTGTAAAATGAGCTATATATTTTTTTTAATTAACAAAAAAATATTATGAAAAATATTTTGAATATAGCAAAAATCGATCAAAAATTGTTGTAAGTGACTGTATTAGGTACAGCAGTAACTGCCTATGTAACTATATAAAATTTTTTAAGTCACTGTTTGAGATCAATTTCAGATATTATCAGTATATTTAAGTAATAATAAAAAAGTTAACACATTTAAGTAAAAAATAAATATATAAGTGCATCACCTATTCCATTTTGAGCTAAGCAA